ATACAAGTCAGAAGTCGATTCCCGCCACCATCGTCTTTAAAAGAGCTTGAGGGAATTTTAACTGAAGAATGGGTTAAATTCCTTTGTAAACAATTCCCATTTTGTAGGAATCAATACCTCGGCGAATTGCGGCAGTAATTGCTGCAAAAAGTGAACCCACATATACAAAAATATATTTTCTGGATTTTTCAGGGTTTCCCCTATTTTGTCCGACCCCTGTATATGCCAAGCAGAGAGGAACCGCATGTTGAATATTCTTCGAATAAATTGTTCTATAATCTCAATGAATTTTAATTGCTCATATTAATATTATTATTATTTATATATAATATATATATATTACACATATATTATTATATTACACATATATTTATATATATATTACATATTATTTAAAATAATATATTTCCTAACAAATACTATTAAAACTTTAAACGCAAAAATCATGTCTGCAATAAAAACGCGAAAAATATAAAATTATATACAAACAAAAACATCTATGAATCCAAACTTTTGCAGCATTTAAACTCACATGACTACTTGTTGTATTAATACTTTTTCATGAACTCGTGTGGTTGAACACGTGTTAGTTTAATTTTTCAATTTGTTCCGAATTTTATCAAATCACGATGTAGGTATTAATTAATTGCAGAAAAAAATACATATGGGCGGTGAAATATTGAGATGAGTGATTAAATAGACATCAATCGGGATGTGTTTCATTCGAATCGCAGGAGATTCAATTTGCGAAATTCAATGGGAGCTCAAAAACGGTGCAAGTACGGAGATATAATTTAATTTAATAACAAAGTCACAGGCGTGAAATAATACCAGGAAATGAACGCCAAATTTGGAATTCAGACAGTCAACAATACTTAACAATTTCAAACAACACGATCCCTGGGCACCTATACTGTCAAAATGCATCAAGAATATCAGCGTTATCAACTTCGCTGGATAGCGCTGCTTGATCTGGATTAAACTCATGCTAGCTCAGGCACTCTTTTTTTTCGAAAAATTACTCATTTCTTTTCTTCGCACTCAAATTTTACTGTACAAATAGATCGTGTCATTTGACTAGGCGAAAAATATTTATAACCAGCCGCAGTTAATATGCTTTTCCGTTCATTTGGCATCAAATTCGATTTAAATGATACTCTAAATTATAGCAGGTGTAATCTGTGACAACATGAGGAAAGAGAGCTAAACGAAAATAAACCAAAGCAGCTGAATAGGTCAGTACTCAGTTGATATGTTAAAAGCTAATCCCCTGTCGAATCTATGTATTACATACAGCGACCTCTGACTCAGGTGTCCGGGCAATATATAAGCAAGGTTGCGCTCTCGATAAGCCGAGACCTACTGGATTCTTTTGACAAGACCGCGGCAGTTAACGATAAGAAAGGTCATCTAAGCTACAAAATGTTTAGCTACTATGAAAATTCCTGCAATGATATCACGTAATATTCCAGGCTGTCCTGTGCCTGGGGTTAATCAATTTTTTTTATCTTATTAAAAGAAGAGGAAAGCAAAATCGTCCGGACACGCAACTCCACGGACACTGCGCGTAACCCACGGCATCTGCAGCCTAATTACAGTGTAATGATTACACGATGTCATCGTATGTAGAGTTTTTCAATAAGTTGGTTGCAAATATTGAATTTCGCTAAAATGAAAAGAAAAAGACATAGGTAAACGAATAGACATTATTGTATGCCGGAAGAATTCAGGGAGGCCATGATGATCTTGAATAACAGAAAATGAACACATACTTAAAATCAATACCATTACTTTTGATGAAGTAATTAGGAAACAAGTATGCCAAAAATTGAATATATAAGGAAGTAATTACAATTGCAATAAGATTGCGTGTCGCTCACTCGAATCGGCTGACTCAGATTAGCTTGGTCTTTTACTAAGGCATGACCACTAAATACCGTATTATTAGCTATATTTCATTCATATTTAAAATTTTGTACAAGTCACTCATTTCACTTCACTTTTCTAGAATACCTGGAAATTACACCTTTATTTGAGAGAACCAGTCGAGAGCCTCCAGGCGTTCAGATGATATCCCTCCCCAATTTATTCAATCTAAATTACTACCCACTTATTTGGCGATGGTTTTTAATGAACTGTATAAGTATAGGGTAATTTGCGGAATACAAAATAGGAAGTTTTCGTGAATCACCCTGTATTAGATACCATTTGGCATTTTTCATACTAGTCAAATAACCTATACTTAAGCGTTGTATACTCTGAGGTTTTAATGCTTCTAGTAATATTGAATCGAGCACGTTCGTTTGACCTTTGCTACTTCATTAAGAGACCAAGCTACTATATTCCCAAGTTGGGACAAGACCTAACAAGATCCAACACTTGGTTAAAGCTAGAACAGTAATAATTACAGGAGTGAACACAACAGTGCAAACATAAAGTTTCGAAATGAACAAAACAAAAAAAGGTTAATAAAGTGAAAAAATATTAATCGCAACAATAACACTGTAAAGAAGGTGCGACGCACTTTCGCGAAGAGAATCTTTTAGAATACTTCGGTCTTGGCCGACCTACCGAACACGATCTTAGCTGTCGACAAGAAACTATCGCAGCGACATTAATAGAAAGTACATAGGCAGGATTCAACCACAAAAACCCGAAAGCATCATTGTCATACTATGAGTTATGTCATGATTTTATCGGTAACTGAAAAAAATTTTACGTTATGACGCGAGGTTTTAAGTAAACTGGTATAGAGGTTTACAACGATAGGTCTAGAGAATCCATAAAGTGACCCAATCGCTGCGAAACTAAAGAAAAGTAAGGAAAATCATTGCAACTTGCGAATTTGTATAGGAACAACTCGGATAATTTATTGGCTTAGCAATGTGAAAGCTGAAAAGTTGGTGATTACGAATTTTATAAGATCTAATCTGTTTCTGCATCTAATCTGACACCGGCTATAACTATTATTCAGCATTTGGGCCATTTATTTCTGTATCACCCCCATTAAACTCGAGCACAGATTATTTGAATATTATTATCGATTATTACTATGATAATATCATTATAATATTATTAACATAATACTATAATATTATATTATTATAATTTTTATCATACGTGACCAACACCATCAACGTTGAACGGTGACCAACAATCTAAATAATATTTCCAGTGCACTAATGAACTCTTCACCACAAAAAACTGAAGAAAATTTCCACGAATAAAAACTATCTGAATTATACTTGATATAAATACATGCTTAGCATTTTTTTAACATTAGCGCTGGCCAAATGTGGGCACCATTCGTACGAGGCCAGACGACAGGCGCAGATAAGTTGCTTCGTGTGTATTTAGTACAGGCGACAGTCTAACAGTCTAACACCCACCTAACCGAGAATCTTCTCTAGTTCTCTGTATTTGACAGAATTGATCAAATTCTTACCACGTATCCTTCGTCATTTCAACGTCTGAATTATCTATATATCCATTTTGTAACTAATTTCTAGTAAACACTTTAGCAACCCATTAATACAAAATATTGACATACGTTATTTTGTATTATGCGAACACTTTGACAATTGGTCTGGCTGTCGGGGGATAAATCAATTGTTCAATGTTAACTACGTACGCATATTATTTAAAAAGAGACACTTCAGAAAAGTCTAACTTGACGTTTGCAAAGCCATAGCACGGTACCTGTAATAGCTCTTTCCAACACCAACTAAATATTACTGAGGCCAGCTATACGCCATACATGCGCGTGTTCATAGCCCTTGCACAGTCGCACGGTCGGAGCAACGATATACGCTCATCGTGGTCTATCAGTGCAGTAGCAACGGTTACATGGCAAAAATGCTCAAACGGCTGCAGGCATAGAATTGTAGTGGCTCCAATTCTTGACTCGCACTATCATTTCTTCTTAACGTCATAATTATTTTTATTAAATCCCCTAAAATTGTTATGTCTGTGTAGAGTGCGCCAGTGGGCAACATTAGCCAGTCATGAATTAGCTTCATTTTTTCCGGTCAGCATCAACGTGTGACGACGACTCTAGAATTCAATTCTTTTAATGTAACTAAATATTTCAAAGTAAAACTGTCAAAACTGAATTAAAGCTTGCTCTCAATATCCATTCGATATTGGTTTATGCTGTTAGGTCATTGTCATTGCTATTCTGTCATGTCTTTATTCTAACGGCCAATCACCCATGCAGGTATTGGTCGGCGCCATCATTCTTTAATCCATGAATAAACATGTTGAACCCTCATAATTATTACCCCAACGTAAATAATACATATTTTAAACTAATCAAGTAGGAGAGGAACGTCCGTTTGTAACTTTTAAATCGAATTTCAAACCCTTTAGCTACCCTCATTGTTCAGAATCAAAACAAGTTGTATATATAAATTATAGTACAGTGACCAAAATGTGACGATTGTTGGAAGCGTCTTGCTCTTGGCCTTGCTATGTCTTAGGTCTTGCGCTTTAGTAGCCCGAGAGAAAATTTCACAAAATACTATGCTGAATCATTTTATAAAAACGGTTGATTGCCAATTAAACTGAACGATGACTATTGACAAATGAGAAGGATAAAAAAGCAGTGGCCTGTTCATGGGTCTCTTTTGGGAAATTCACTGAAATTCGGAAGAGAAAACATGCCTAGGTCATGACTAACTTACTTCACGGTTTTTGTCACGTTATAACGATTACTATTACAGGAACAGGTTGGCTCATAAATTAACTTCGTTATAAAATTAACACTCTATAATACAAATAATCCCCCACCGCCCCACGGTTACCGGACCTTACTTATTCGTTATTGCTAATCACATCAACCCGTCACGTGTCAGTCGTGTTGCCATGCTCTACGGTAGGTAGTCTATGCCATATATGACTAGAAACGGCAGTTTCAGTTCAATAATAAAAACCATTAATATCTGTAAGAATCTTCTGAATATGTTTGAGAAAATTACCGATACCAAAGGAACTCGTATTACCTCTAGAATTAGTCATAAAAAGGCCTGCCAAAACACAACACCTTATCACGCACACACCAACAACCTTCCTCACGGCAGCCAGATATATAACTGAACTGAAGGTATAACGGGTACGGGTCAAACTAGAGACTTCGTGAGGTACCTGACAATTGAATCGTGACGAGCGTCGTTGACTAACAAGGTTCCGTGGGACTAAACCATCAAATCCGTGCAGGTCCAACCAAGTTATTCAAGTAGAAACGCTTTTATTATTAGTTATTAAGTGAGACAATAGTATGCTCATTTGCTCATACTCCGTGGACCTATACTTTTTTAATTGCTCCTATGCGCGAATCATATATGTGATGAGAACACTGGTAAGTATAGAATTTAGATGCTTCAATATTTTACTCCCCAGACACGCAGCTTCCCGAGTCCAAAATTAATGCGGAGTCATTGAATGGCAAGATGCGCATCTTTAAATGTTTTAATTCTTTAAATATATTTTCTTTCTATATTCAAATATTCTTTAAATATTCAACAGCGAGAAATAAGATCCAATGATTTAGTAGTTGAATCCTAGTAATAACAGTATGAAAGATATTTATTTAAGATTCAATACAGCGATGCGCACAAAAATTGACATTAAAATTTAATAATTAAAAATTTAATTCTCGATTGGGCGAAAGTGGCAGGACACAGTCTCAAAGAGATTAAGTCATTGGTATATTTTACAATTGTTATTGTTTGTTTATGTCGAAAATTTAAAACTGTGCTTGCATACGATTATTGAACATTCTTTGTTTTCCTGGAACAACGTCTTTTAAACGCAGGTAATGAATCACTTCTTTGCAAATGTATCGCCGATTAAATGCTTTTATTTACAGTTCGTTTTTCTGGAAGAAATAATACAGAATGTGCTCAACATTTTATCCAACAACAGTTATTCTTCCCCAAAGAAGATAAGAAGGATAAACATAAAAATAGCTGCAATTTTGTGATTTTTATTTCGATACTCTCCTACCAGACAACATTTCTGTTTTGATGCTATTGTTGACGATATAAATTATTCTAGAATAGACGAGACAACGTGACATGTACACACACAAACGCATCATACATTTGACTTAGTTCACAACTTTCTTACTAGCACTGAATAGTTTAGCAGCGCTACGGTAACAGCGGCACCTACATCAAAGCAAGCTCAGTGTTCAATAGAATTATATTTAATAATAAATATCGATCACGTGGCATGGGTTCACCCTATAATCATGTGTTGAACTATCTAATTTCAATGCAGAAATTTCATGTGAAATTTGTTCAGTTACTCTTTTGCGCGGTGATTCCACCCATACTTTCGACGAAAATTAGCATTTTTGAGTCATCGTAGAGGAGTGTTGCTAATTACATTTACGACAGCATTGATGACTGCCAAATCAAACTCATAATTGACTGCAATGTTTTTAAGAATGTAAGTCGTCCCACTTGAATGGTTGATAAATAATGGAACCAAAATTTTACTAAATCGGCGAGCGGCCATATCCGCTTCCCTCGAGAAAAATGCATTTAACATAGCATCAAATTTTACACTGGATAAAAAACGAGAACGCTGCTGAATTGCATAATCAATTTAACAAGCCTCTCAAAAAATAGTTCAAGATTATATAGGAGATAAAAAATTAATTTACACACAACTGATTCTCAGCTGGAGCGAAATGAATGACGAAAACAAAAGACCTGAGCTTAGTTTCTCGTAATACAGAAACAGTTTTAAACTATGACTGAAAAAACAAATTATTCATTGATAGTTAGGTAAAATCACCTGTAATTCCAAGTGATTTTCATTTTAATACTTCACTATTTAACTTCCATGTATCATTGATACTCAAACAAATAGGTTTGTTAGTACGCACACGAGATTTATATTGTATGAGAAAAGAAAAAAAAATGATATTAGTGACTGTGTTAGAAGAGAAATATTTCTGGACCTAAAACGACCCTCAGTCTTCGAAGCTTTAAAATAGCTCATGACATTTTTTAAAAAAATTAATTAATAATAACTAATAAAACACTGTTGAAGACCTTAATTTACCCAATTTGAATGCCTCAAATTGAACATTATGTTGGAGCTCCAAATTGAAGACTGTTTAAAAACTAAATCAAACACAGAAGGTCATAAATGTAATTGAGAAAAACCAAAATAAAATATCGGTCTAAGCAGGAAATTAAATTCTGTTGATAGCCTTAACTTGAACTTTGTAGAAATTCAGAAATTGAAAACTGTTGAACGTCTTTAATTAAACGACGGTAAAGATGCTAAAGTAAACACTTTTAAGGCAATATCTTTGATATGTTTAGCTGGTTAAGTGTTGTAGTCTTATAAAATAAAAGGACAAGAAGCTGGCACCAGCTCCTGCATCGAGTCACACCTCACCAGCGTATTATACCTTCAGTTATTATGAGGTCGCCTCGACCCGATCGAAATACTCAATGTTAACAAAGACTAAAGCATCAGCAATCAGAGGTGAGAAAGTTTAGAGACACACACAACTGAAACAATCACAGCGCTCTTAAGACTTACACAACAATAATAACGTCATAAAAACATGCATTAGAAAAGTTTCCCAAATGACAATATTTCATGCTTTATTTACGCCGCTAATGTGATCATCTGATCAATTATGGGAGTGAATGAAATTAAAAAAATAATATCGATGGCTAGAACAGTTCTGAAGCGACAAACTTTGCATGATTTTTACATGCAGGTCAAGCATCGTTGAGCCCGCATGAGAGAATGTTCAGTAACATGAATGTGGTTTTGACTAAATCTCTCGCTACAAATTCAACTACACTGAAGAATGTTGCAAGAAGGAGAAGATGGAGTAGATTATGAAGTTCTTGTTGGTAATACAATTGCAAGATAAAAATTATAAGTAGTAGATATTTTAATGCTCCTTCACATGAGCAGTAGATATTCTACTGCTCCTTTAAATAAGTAGTAGACATTTTACTGCCACTTCAAATGAGTAGAGATTTTAATATCTTGAAAGGAGTAATAAATTCTTTGAAACTCTTCAAAGGAAAAGTGAGGCTGTTACTACTTCTACTACTTCTCTGAGTATTATTTTAACATTCCCCAAAAGGAGTAGTAAGCGTTTCATTAACCATCCAGAGAAGTAGCAAGTAATAGCATTTTACTACTCCCTGTAAAAGTAGTAAATATTTTACCATTTCTTAGGAAGAGTATTATATACATAAGTACTTTTCTACTTACTGAGCGGAATAGAATTTTACTGCTCCTCGAAGGAGCGATTATTCAACCACTCCCTGCAAGCAATAGTAAGAATTTTTGCTACTTTTTGAAAGGAGTTATAAGTTTTATTACTACTTGAACGGAATTTTAAGCATTTTAATACTCTTTGAAAGTAGTAGTAGTAGTCAATGATAGATAATTTCATATGAAAATGACGAACGGGAATTAATTGTAAAGTATCATAAATTTTCCATGCGATGAAAGGAGCGAATAGAAAATATCTATTAATTGTACAAGGCGTCACACAGGCAACGTCAGTTAGATAAATTTTACAAGTATTAAAATGTGAATAGCTCCAGAACAAAGTTCAAATATTTATATATTATATTGAGCTTTTTCTAACATTTCATTTCACAGCATCATTCGAACAAAACATTAAGCATCTTCATATTTCGAATAGAACACGTAATAGCTCCGTAATTCGTTTAAAACACGCATTGCGGGTCTAGAAACTTAACGTTACCAGATGAGCAATGATGATTTTAGGAAGAACTGGTGTTTACGTTATCGGTAGAAGGAACGTAAAATAACCAATATAATGGAGTATCTGTCTTTGACCAAAGAATCCAAAGCCAACAGCCCTTATCAGCTAATTCATCTACATCGTAATGGGCGTTTGTTTTAAAACTCACAACAAAGATAATCGAGCAATCAATCATCGACATACTTCGTTATAAAGTGCAAAATGTTACTTGATTATATATTTTCCCTTCCTTTGTTAAGATTGATCATTTCAGCAGAGAGTGGCGACTTGAGTTACGTTGGCGACTCTCATGTCGTTGACGACAGACCAGCAAAAATAACAGTGAGAATATTGTTGAAACAGTGAGAATATTGTTGAAACGGTGAGAATATTGTTGAAACGGTGAGAATATTGTTGTAACAGTGAGAATATTGTATGCGTACGATACAAATTGTGATGAACTCTCAGATTAACAATTTTAAACGAATAATGTGTTAGACGTGCTAGTTTCGTGACAATCAAAAGTAAAAGACGTATTAGCTTTGTTTCCGTCAAAAGTATTAGGTTTCGCATTTCGTTTATTTCCATCGAAATTCATAAATACAGTATCTTTCGTTTCGATCATAAACGTTAAATTAACTTCAATTTCTAGTTCAAAGTTTCTCAAGTATTTTACTGTAGCATTTCGAAAAGGTTCCAATAGAAGCTTCCTTATCGTGAACGAAGAGATACCATTTTTCTTCTGCGTTGAGCACAGCAGTTCTTTGCATGCCAAGAAGTCAATAAAGCGCAACTTTTACAAGAAGCAAAAGCATTTTTACATTAGGACGAAAAATCTTGTGATTTGTAATTAACCCGCACTTCTGAAAATGATGACGTATTGTGACAACTTTCTTCATTGAGACACACACAAGTAGAGAACATAATAATGTTTGTATGACGTTCGGATGAATACGAGCGTCCGGACTTAATTGAAAAGATTGTCAGCATCAAACAGAGAGGCGAAAATGTAATGCTCGAATCACAGAACTACTGCTGCTGTGAAAACACTTAAAATTCTTGAGCATTTCTCTACCGAGTAGCTTTGTAACCAAGACTGCCTAAGTAGCTTATCAATGGTAACTTATCAATGGCTTCAATTACCTAGTCCTACGCCGAATTTTGTTACTCGCGATACCAACAACGCCGAGCACGCAAAATTTCAAATGAAGTTAAGTTAGCTTAGCATTACAACAGCACTCTCTGTGGCATGGAGCGAAAATGCAACTTCGAACGGACCACTAACAAAGTAAAGTCTATATCAAAAAAATGATACTGATGTCAGAACGCAAACTCGACAAATGCCTTCCGGCAGTGACAACTCTTCAGCTACTCGAAAACCTCTAGTAAAGGGGCATTACCCCAAGACCTAGAATCCAAGTTGACTTTTCACTCTTATTCGAATGAAATTAGAATACATTTTCCACTAAAATCCTAATCAAAGTTGAGTAATAAGTAAACAGTAGAAAATTATTTAATCATGTCGATTTATAAATAGTATAGAAGCTTGAACCCTGAGTAATCTCTAATTGTAAATGAAATGAACGTTGGACTGTGCGCGTATGCCTAGAAGCCAATTTGTAACTTTTTTCAAAATACAGGCCTCATTTTTTCAAAGGTCAATCAATGGATGCAGAAAAAGTTCATTTGCTGCGCTGTAGAAATAGAGTAAGCTACTGAATGTTCTTGCATCATCGAAGTAGACAGTTCCAAATACTGTCGAAACGGATTGTAAGATTATAGACCGAAGAATAGCTGTACATTTCTCAGAAAAATGGTATCCAAACCTTAACAATTTTCGCAAAATAAAAACGGTGCTGATCCATACGTTGAATTTGTTGACAATCGACTACAAAGAAGCGTGCGCTTATGTGTCGCGTAGATAATAAAGTCAATATAGGATATTTTGGAGGTCATGAGACATTCTAGGCATGAAGTCGTGGAGCTAAAATTGAGATATGTTACATTCATGCTGAATAATGAGACATTCATGCTCAATAATGAGACATTCATGCTGAATAATGAGACATTCGTGCTCAATAATGAGACATTCATGCTGAATAAAGTGATATTCATGCTGAATATTGTGATAATCGTGTTTGACTATTGTAAAAATATTAAATTTACGTTTAAGTAATGTGAAAACCGTGTTTATATTATGTGAAAATAATGTTTAAATAATATGACAATCATAATCGAATTTAAAACTTAGCAAGTGGGCGATCCGACTTTGGCTTCAGACCACCAATGCATTTAAAATCATTTGTCAAGCACATTGGAACTTTTTTCACGGCTCCGAAATGCCCAAGTAACTTATTTAATTTGTCGATATCTCTTCTACCAAAGAACATCTCCGTAATACACATGCACGGAGCTCAACTTGTACGGCACTACCGTTACGAGCTTTGCGAATAACTATTTCCATGTGCCATACCAAAAAAATCTCTATAAAATCACAGAGAGAAAAGGCCTGAGGTTACAAAAATGCAATATTCAAAAAATTAATAGCCGATAAATCGGCTTATTAAGTTATTACAATGGACAGGACAAGCCAGAATTGACGACCCAACGCTGGCCGAGCGAATAAGACTCGAGCGAAGCTTGTTGCTGAATAATTCATATTGAGTTGGCAAGAGCGGCGAGCTTCAAGGCGAGAACTGGCAACAAGAGCGGGGGAGTATAGAGGCATAGGCTAGTATAGATATTCAGCTATTTAGAAGTAGATAGCAGCGAGGACATTACTAGTACAAATGTCTTCAGTAGTAGCGAATACCACGTACCACAATTGGCGTTGAGGCTAAAAAGCGTGCAAATTGAACTCTGGAATGTCTAGCAATACTCTGGTAATCGGTGGGTTGAAGAATAATCCCGCCTTAGACACTATCAAAGATAATGCAGTGTTTTCTACAGCCAGATTCAAGCAGAACCTCACGTGTCGTCTCTCCGTTTATTCTAGGAATTATTATTTTCTAGCGTTACATACTCAGGCATTTTAATGAAATAATCCTATAAATCATTGGTACGAAAAAGCCTAAAAAAGCGCTACTGGCTGCTCATCCAAAGATGCTTAACAAGTTACAGGACACACCCACATTCACCTAACCTATGACCACAGCAAGTGAATAACCTTAGTTAGTTTACTCATTGCACTCTATGCCATATTTCTCACGGCCACGGCTTCACATGTGACTCATAGTCTTGTTCATTTATCAGAATATTAGCAATATAACAATTAATAACGGTTTAAATACACAAATATTAATCAATCTTTTATGAATCGAATAAATAGAATAAAACTTTGAATTCTAATAATCTATAACTTCTTCTTGTTCATATCTCTGTCTCTGACAACACAAGGATAAGCAAAAAAGTTTGAGGCCCTTGCGGAACTTGGGGCTAAACGCTACGTAAATGATGGATTTCCAGAAAGAGTTGAGAGCGCCTATCCAAAATACTATAAAGTGGAGGAAACGGACATCAATAGCACTACCAGAGAGATATTCATAAGTTCTAACTATGACACAAGGCGCCCATGACACCCAAAACATGAGAACTAACACGAAGGACATGGCGTGATCGGGATTAGCCAGGTTAGCCGTCAACGCTGTGATGAACTCTTTATCTTGGCCTACGACGCACTGCTTAAGGCGACGCATCGTATAGAAGATGTAAGCGTAGGTGTAAACAAGTGTGATGAGAGTTGGTCCGAGCACCATAGGGACAAGAGTGAAGCCGTACGCAAGCATGCTGCCCCAGTCAAGCCAGCACACGAAGGCTCTGCTGTCCCAGTGACTTGACGAGTCGAAGCCGAGGAGCGGAGGGCAACAGAGCATCATGGACGTGAGCCAAGTGAACACCACCCAACACTGGCAACGGGTCTTTGTTTGCACCGTCTCGTATCTGTGAACAATAACAATTCCTTAGCCTCGGTAGCGGTAGCAGAGTTGCAAATACACAAGATAGTCTTGGTTTCCACAGACAAGGTATTACTAAACAGTCGTAGCCTCACCACAGTTTCATGCCCGGTAAGAAAAATAGTTGAAATACGTCACGATGAAGCGTGCATCTTGAGGTTATAATAGACGATATTACAGAATTTTTACCGCATTGAAAGCCGAGATTAAACGTAAAGTTCCCACCACGATAATGCTGGGAAAAAATTTCTGCCAATATAATGATGAATTTCGTTTTAGGTGAACATGTACACAGCAAGTTCGCCTAAACATGTACACAGCAAGTTCGCCTATCGCCTAAGAATGGAAGAAATAGTGCTCATAACCGATTTTATTCACAGAACACCGAAGATCTAATCTAAAATCTGCTAAATTGAAAAATTTAAAACATTGTTCCTATCGTGTGTAGATATATTTCTGAAAACTGATACCACAATAAAAAAACATATATTGACGCACTCAAAAGCATATCTCACCTCAAAGGCTTCCTAATAGCTAAGTATCGGTCAACACTGATCCACATGAAGGTGTAGAGTTGTGTGAACCAGATGGTGATTTCAATGTACCCTGCAAAACCGCACACGCCTTTGCCGTACACCCAGCGCTGCACCAGGGCTGGATATACGCTGAGGGGGACCACGACCACGCCAGCCATGAGGTCGGCCACTCCCAGGGACATGAGGTAGTACATGATCACGTCCTTGGGACCTGGAAAATGTTACCACTGCAGTGAGCGCTACACAATACATGATCACGTCCTTGGGACCTGAAAAACGTAACCACGCCAGTGAGCGCTACACGAATGAGTAGGCACTGTGGTAGCAGTTGGCTCCTCAGTACATAGTTGTAGCAATACTACGGTACAGATTTGCCAACGACGAAGGTTAGGCCAATTATGGTCTGCCTCGCCACTCCAGCTCTGGTGCTCTTAACCTCGCGACCAACCCATCGACAATCATGCAGATCTTGCATACTAATCGAAGGTATGGTGTCGATTCTAATGAGCGCAAAGACTAATAAAAATTTGAAAGATATAAGTGAGTGATGAGTGTTTAAAATTAGCGATGAACGAAAAAGGAAACCAAAGAAAATTTTAAATAATAAAAATAGTATATTAACCTTGAGTTGGCTTTAGAACCAATGCAAGTTGACTTTATCTAAGCACCAAAACTGATTTCCCGCGTAAATTAGACTAAGTTGCTGTAGCAAACTTAGCTCCTTCATAATAAGTGTCGACAACATCGCATGCTGTAATGAACGTGATCATTCATTCTGAACAAATGTCCCATTGAATCTTACCTGGCATAGTGATGAATGTAGCAAGTACAATTATGTTCGAGATGATGATGGCCACTCCGACAATCAATATGATGGTTGCCTGTGACAAGTTCTCAACGCCGACTTCCATTCCTCTCATAAACTCCAACTGCCCTCCACTCGTGCCCATGTCGTAGTGTCCATAGCCGTGGACTGCCGACGTGTAGCCGTTGTAAACAATTGGTTCGTCAGCGCCTCTACCGCCTCCTCCTCCCGCGTCAAAGAGGACGTCTTTTGCAGCGGTAAAGGCATCGTAAATTGCGGTCTCCGGAAGCGAGTCCGGAGCACCGAAGAGTCGCGAACTGAAGTCGTCCGGATGAAGATAAGAGTTCGAGACAACTGCAGTATTGACGGCGGTTGAGGCATTGATGAAGGCAGAGAAAACCGTATTGTTCATCAGAGAAACTTGATCGGAAGTCAGAGAGGAGAATGTTCTGTATTCTTGACCTGAGGTTGTAATAACTTACGTAATCAAAAAAAATTATAACTAAGCAAGTGTGAGAGTTGACCTGGAACAGACTACTCTTTGATTCTAAGAAAATCACACTTTGCCGCCGTTTGTAAGAAAAAAAGGTTAGTAGTAATCATTTGGAATAAGACTACGGTGAAGGAACAATGTTTCCTACGTCGAACTACGAAGATCACAATCTTCTCATTCTTTCGTTTGTCGATACGTCGTCAGATAGAAACGACTTTCTATTCAACAACAAAACTTTGGCTTCATTAAAAGTTAGGGAAACAATTGAAGAGAAGTTGGGAAGTAACTGTAGATATGGACAGCAGAATTCAGAGAGAAGATTTTTAGGCATTTCAGCCTTCGAAAAGTGATTACTTGCGACTATGTTCCAGGAGTCATGACTGCCTGGCGCTATCTTGAGTATGGTGAAGCAGTGACCTCGCCAAAAGTGTCTCTGAGTGAAGAAACCCTTTCTTGCGAGACACTTGCGATTATTAGGCTTACTTCTTCCACTGGTCTGGTCGACTGCTTTTGCTTTGAGCTTCCGTATGAGATGTTTTCAAATTCGACAGCATCACAGACGGAACTTCCAGAAATAATTCGTTCCAGAATTTGATTTTGCTTTGCAGGTTCTTTTACCGACGAACAAATTACATTTGTGAGGTAGTCTACCTCAGTTCCCGGGATAACAACCTTGAATCCACTATTGTAGCCAGAAATAAATTTTGACTTTCCTGTCTTGAATTCTGAAGCCAATTTTCGGTGCAGGCTTTCTGATGTGAAGGCTGTTACGTCGATGAAGAAATGTTTTACGGACGAATTTCGCGAAGAGGTCTCTGATGATTGTGAGAAGAAGGGATTCGGAGACTCTCCCACCACCATCGCGGGCAAATTCAAAACGAAGAACACCAGGAGGCTTAGAAAGCAAGAAACATTCATACAACAATAACAAACTAGACTCTTGTACTTTGCGTTAATTGATATGCTTAGATACACAAGCTTCAAATCAAGATCGTCTTGTCCACACAGTTCAAATTTCTTCTTCCTTAAAACTTGTCTGATAAATGCAAGTTTTGGACGTTGATGTTTCCATGCAATATATTTAGAATTGAAATTCCATCTCTTTGTATAGTGAATATTGTGCAGATTCATATGCACACATTATGCGTATTATATTAACTTTTTCACAGTCGGTGAAATTAAACTCGGACATAGGAAGAGCCTATGACAGACTATAACAATTCTCTAATTTCTTTAGCGTAATTAATTTTCCCAGCATATGGGCTACAAGAAACTTAGGAAGTTGAGCCCACAGTTCTTGAAATAATTCATCTCCCAGTTTGCAAATCTTGACCATCTTCCATTGATTCCAGTCTGGTGCAACAATCCAGCGAAGTCCAGAAAGAACCTGAAACAGATGATTTATTATTAATATACAATTGTCTTCAGAAATTATCAGAATATTCATGGTACCCAAGCGATGCTATTCCGTGTTCAAACAACTCAAAGGGAATAAAACATCTGATCAAAATTGCGTTAATAACAATTAAGGGCCCAGGGTTCCTCTGTAACGTTACCGAATGATATATTGTATCGTGAAATATTCCCAGGAATAAACCACGAGGCTCCCGAACTCTAGAAGATTTCCTAAATTTGTTAATGATTCTTCAGGCGTTGTGATAAGTTTCCTCAAAAATCAAAACTTTGTCGAAACTTTACTCAGTTGGGGGTTGCCGCTCTCTCTCGCAGGTCACGACTTCTCTCGAGTATACTTGTCGTCTTTGAGTGCATCAATTGGGAAAGGATAATATAAAGTCACTTTTGGTCGAATTTCGAAGGTATTCTACTTGTTCACCTCAGATACATGAATATTGCAGAAAAAATTTTTTATAGCTACTGGTTCACCTCAGATCCATGAATATTGCAGAAAAAATTATTATAGTTTCTATAGAGTGACCAACCATTTTTTAAACATGAGCAATCGTACATCAAAGATTTTCAAGTTAAAAAGGGTAAACAGTTATTCTTTTTAGCTTGCAATAGATCATTTAATATCAGTTTAGATGACGTAAGTCATGGATAACTCAGGATGTAACATCTGAAGTAGGTTGAAATACATTTTTACGAGCAAACTACACAATATACAAAAAAAAATTTAAAACCACAGAGATGTTTTCAAAGTTGAATCATACATCATAACTGAAATACTTTGTATCAATAAAGTTTATGTCTAAAAATTTAGAATTATAGAAGCAAACTCGGACTACATGTTTCAGAAAATTCAAGTTCTGGTGAAAAATTTCGACAACCTAGTCTGGAAAGCCAACAGCGAGATGTAATCATAACATAAAACATGATATCGGAACAAAACGCATGATTTGGTTATCTATACATATATCTTGATCAAGACTTTATCTATCAAAGTAACAGCTCAGTAAATTTCTAGCTGCAAAGTTCTTTAAAAGAAGTCGTTTATTTTGTATCAGGCAATAAGGCTTTACGATGGCTTCATCGATTGAGAGGCCGTATGAAGTGTCAGGGGCACGCAAGCTTCACGTTCCCGGCTGTCGCGCCCAGCCTATGCCCCGCGTATATTCTTGCCTGTGATAGTTTTGCATGAAATTCCGTAGCTGATAAATAACTTTTGAAATATATTTTTAATTGAATCCAATACAATTTTGCAATTCTGAACTTGGTGTGCACAAAGTATAATGAGAAAACTTAACCAGAAATATTTACCTTTGTTTAACAATGCACTTCAGCTATTTAGCCATCTCGCACTGAAAGTCAAGATGAACATCACCAAAGAGGTGGAAGGTCTCATTTATCGAAAGATTCTCAAATCAAAAATTGTTCCTCACTCACAAGGGGCGGAAGGTCTGAATTGCCCAGCCCGCTGAAGCTTGCTCGAAGGAAGCAGCGTTAGCATCTCAAAAAGACAAAGTGACAAGGAGGGACAGGTGAAAAGCTACAGAAACTAAAGCACTCGAACGAAAGGTCGCTTACACGGGACGTCGGCCGCTCGTACGAGAGAGACAGAGAAGGGAAATGTAAGGAATCCTACCTATATAATTACTTAATGTACGGTATCCTACCAACATAATAACTTTATGTACGGTATCCTACCTACATAATAACTTAACCCCATACCATAACTGAACGATTTGTCAGACACCGCAAGCTCAGCGGTGGGGCGCTCAGGAACAATCCCCCTAGGAGCGCGAAATCCCATAGAACTTCTGACAGGTGTCCATGAGTTCATTAATAGAGTTCAATAAATTTAAGCAAGAATAAATACGCGCGACACAAACAGACGTCGATGTAGTGTACACGCAAGAGATTATCTATATAATCTGCAAAGTGATTAATCGCACTGTCCCCATAGCCTAAAGTATCTAAAGCGCTATGGTGAACACTTGGCCACTAAACTGGAACAATTACCGAGTAATTAAACGTTTTCGTAAAATCGCTATAAGCCAAGTTATAACCTTTTTTACTCTTAAGCACGATCATGATTAACGTTCGAGGAAAAAAAAGAATTTTAATAATAAATTATGCTTCGTTATGATTTTTCCGCAGTTCACTGCAAGAGTGTGCACTTCTTACCACATTCTGCACCGCATGACGCGTGACACGTAGAGGAAATTTCACATTACAATACCAAAAAGGAGGTCAGAAAAGCTGATGTGCCGGGGATAATGCATTACAAAGCTTTTGTAAAAATTAATATATGAAGAAATTTAATGGCCATTGAATGCGTAACGAAGACATCGAGTCTAGGTGGAGTCAAGCTTCGCAATCACTGTTAAAGTATTCGCTCTAGAAAGTTCCCAGGAACGATTTAATCAGACAATTTAAAAGTGGTCTTACTGCCTCTTCATTAGGATGCCCAGGCCAATATAATTAAAATATAACCTTTTACGCACAAACGAATGATTTAACATTGATGGATTGAATTAAGATGACGCACAGTTTGATTTAATGTCATTGAACTCGCTCAATTAGCATTGGTGCCTTATGTACTTTCTGTTATTATTGTCGACATTACAATAAAAATTGCCTAATTAGAGCTGCAAGAAAAAACCTACTTCTCAAACATTGACCTAATTTATCAAAAAGCGGTGTGAAAAAATATGATATCTTACAGGCTTCCAGAAATTTGTCAATACGGAACTCAAACTGATGTAAATTAAATTATGTACCACCATATTTTTATAGCATCTGGAATGCAAAACGTGCCGAGGTTTGATAAAATGACGCATAATTAAATAAGCGCAGAAGTAGACACGACATATGCAAATTGCTGCCGGGTTAATGGCAGGATATGCCGAGATTCTGACACATACATGGAGAAAAACTCCGCCTTTAAACGATGTCCCTGAATTGGTGTCAAGCAGTGGACGGCGTGTGTGGATTAGTGTCATGCAGTGGACGACGTACGTGGATTAGTGTCATACAGTGGACGACGTACCTGTATTCATGCCAAGCAGTGGACGACGTACATGTATTCATGCCATGCAGTGGACGACGTACATGTATTCATGCCATGCAGTGGACGACGTACATGTATTCATGCCATGCAGTGGGCGACGTTGCAGACGTTGTGGCTCCTACACTTGGCGCCGACTGATAATCATGTATGCAGGCCGGACTGTTACCAAGAGGTCTGTCGAAGCTTACAACAGAGCACCAGATAACAGAAAATTGCATGCAAATATGACACGAAATTCGCGGAAGCCTTGCTCGCGCCGAGAAATTGCGAATTCTAAAGAAATGTGTTTCTGAATTTTGTTGCTGTCAACGGCTTGGCACGCGAAATCCGGGTGGCTGACTCCTTACCGGAGCATTTGTGAGCGTCTCAGAGTCTCGTGACGTAATGCCAAGCAAGAAAATAGCTCCACAATTTCATTTATTATTGTTATTTTTCGAGGCAGCGTCTAGTACAAAAGAAATCAATTAGTGAAGCTGCTGAAAAGCTTCATTTTCATCTCTGTCATTCGGACAGATGAATTTAGCAGGACATTCCTCTCGTCGTTGTATATGATATATAAGCCGTAAATTCTATGTGCTTTGTTTAACTTGTATACAAAACAAAACTCCTTCATAATATATAATTCGAGTGATAAACCAATAGATTTTTGTTGCTTAGGTCTGTACCAAATGAAAGTTACTTGGAGCAAACGACTTCTTAGGAAGCGTTAGAAGAAAACCAAACAACGTAAATTATTTACAAAGTCATCCATAATGCCATCTGTCAGATATTCACTATTTTCAGGAAAGCTATGCAACTTTCGACCTATGTCATTGAGTTTTATTTTAAGACAATTCTTGCTTTGTGCGATAAAATTTTTAATTAATAAAATTATCTTCATGCTTATACGGCACGATTAAACTTGTACGGTATTACAGCTTTTATTTCAAACTTGTCCTAAAGTTATTAATAAAATTATCTCCACGTTTACATTGCACGTTAAAACTTGTATCACAATTTTTCATAAAATTCGTTTCCTGCGTACACTGCACGTTTAAACTTGTACTACAGCTTGCAATAAAATTCATTTGAAATTCACTTTATTCCGTAAATTGAAACGTGTATTTTTCAGATAAAGAATAGCTGAAAGCATCCGAGAAAAAGTCCATAGACTTAGTACGCAAACGTAACGTAACAAAGCTAAGACGATGAGGTCAAACAGTGCGTGCACCAGTGTTGACTCTACGAAGGTCTGTGCAAATTGTCAGCAACATGCGCACCAACAGTATTAAAGACCACGACGGTCACCAAAAAATACCGCGTACGTATCTTATTCCGATCTCATTTTACGGTGTCTGTAAAAGGGACAGGCTGCCTCAGGTCATGTCAGCAGCAAATAGTGGCGTCGACACGCCTAATTGCAGCACGATGTCTGCACGACATGACTCAGGGCTGCACGATGTCTGCACGACATGACTCAGGGCTGCCCACAAAATGTGGTTCCACATGCAAGCCTCACGTCAGTCGTGACTCCACACGACTGACGTGTGGATATATACACGACTCCAACATATACAACATATGTTGTATATGTTACGTTATCATATGTTACGCAGTCGTCTCCAACATTTAGGCAGCAATGCCGGAACCATTATTGTTAGGCCATAAAACAAGTACAAAAATCACTCGTGATCTTCTGTATGAATTATCAATTTGAGTGATACCAGAAAACCAAGACAGAAATGATGTTTGGTAGAAGAAAAGTACACAATATCGAGAGTTTCAGTAATACACTCCCGATAATCAATATGTATCCCAGATATTATTAACGAGTGCTTTGACAGGATGACTTGAAGACATTGCCATGACATAGGTTACTTTAAACGAGGGGCTGTCTGTCGACCCCCCTTCCTGTAATAACGCTGCTCTCAAAAATA